GGGCAGCTGTGGCTACAACTGTAGCTTGCCTCCACCAGTGTGTGAATGTGAGAGTGAATGAATAGTGGAATTGTAAAGCGCTTTCAGGGTCTCGAAAAGCACTATATAAATGCAATCCATTACTACTATTATTATTATTACATAGGTTTAATCTTAAGGATCTAATAGTTTGTGTTTGTGCATGACATTGCAGCACAAACATGTATTTGCAAGATAGACTGAAATAAATAATGACGCATCAAAATTTGGGGTTTTATGATTTTTTCCATTTATGAGTTCCTAGGATTATGTGATTGAACTGGTATTTAAATGATTAAAATTCTGAATTTGAATGAAATTTTGATTTTCATGAACAGCACTGATGCTAATCTAAAAAATCAAGTCAATGAAAGTGGAAATTTTTAGAATTTTCCATAAACAAAAAAAGGAAGTTTTTATGTTTTGGCTCTCCCTGCACAAAAATAACAATGCATTATAATCAATGTTGATGTGAATCAATTACATGTCCCAGACTCTACTATTAATAATACAAGAAATTCCAGTAGCACTGTAATTATATAAAATTGTGAGGATTTGAGGATGTTTTACAGCTAGTGCAGTGGACAAACAAACTGGTGTTTAAAGGGTTAAAAATGTAAAAAGTAATAACTATTTATGAAAAGAACTGAAGTTAGTTAAAAGATTTATGCAGAAAAAATGGTAAAAAAAACAAAAAACAAACAAACAAACAAACAAACAAAATTACAGACCTAATCTGTTGGTGGCCACTTTTGGCCACAAAACAAGCTGAAAGGGTATTGATTTTGAACAAATACAGTGCAGTGCAGTGGAGTTTATCAGTGGTGGTCAAATGATGAACAGATACTATGCTGGCATTAGGTATTTTCTGTTCTGCAGCAGTTTGTCCTCTAGTGGTTGTTTTTGTGTATTTTTTACTCTGCAAGATTTAGCCAGAGGCAGTTTCACCTCTGTTAATCTGTTGCCATCCATGCCTTCACAAGTTGATAAAAGGCATCATCTGTAAGTAATATTGTTTGTTATCACTGAGACGACTTGTGTGCATTGTTATTTGTTGTGAAGGCGTGATATTGTTTGTAGTTTGAATTTAATTTGAATGCATGTATAACCTAAGCTAGTAAGGTTAAGCTAGCTCATATGCCATGTGGTTTCATTAACATTTTGATCATGAGTGTGATTTCAAATGATGTTTTATTCGGGCACTCACTAAGCAGATAAATATTGTGCTCACATTTTTGAATATGTGTTTGTTATACTGTATATTGATGCAACATTTTTATTGGTTTATTTCTGGTTTTGTCAACAGTTTCACACTTTTTCCTTATTAAATCATCCAACTCAACACATCGGCCTGTTCCTTGGATTTTGATTAGGAGAGTGTTTAGCTGTCTGTATAGCTGAGTCTACGTTCACAAGGACAACACTTGGTGAGGACAGAACAGATACTTACTTGAAGCTGGGTGAGGAAGCAAGAGGCTTCTCAGGCCTCTTTGGTGGGATCATTCCTGGTCGGCCTTTCCCTGGAGGAGGGACCGGCTTCTTGGGCGGGACTAAGGGCGCAGCTGGTTTAGGTTTAAGATCTGGTATGGGTTTGTCAACTGGTGAGAAAGAAGGGGTCAGGTAGATGTTAGAAACAGGAAATATGAATCAAAAAGAAAGGAAATGGGCAGAGAAAAAAACAAGAGGGGAAAAAAGATCATTTACTGGCTGAATGAACTATTTTACCATCATGTTATGCTGCCTATTCTACAATTACACACTGTAACTGAGAGTAACTGATTGAAATTCAAGCCTTGTTCTTCTGGGAAGCAGGACAAAATGGTGTACATTCATCAGCTGATTCTGTTTGCCCTCAGCTGAACTTTAACATGCTGATGACAGAAACTTTAAACTGCCCAACACCCTAACATGGGAAGCACAAGATAGACCAGACTATATTACATACACAGATAGATAACAGATAGAAAGATGGGCAAATAATGTAATACACATAGCACAACATGTGTCCTGATCTGTCGCTATCGCTTTCCACAGATCTGTTGTCATACTGATTAGAAAACAGTGATGTGATTGTGTGTCATGTTACCTACCTATTAACCAGGAAAAGCATTTATTGCGTGAGCAATCACCTGTGACAATGCAACATAATTGAAAGTATCAGCTGTAATGTCAAGCGGCAATGTTTTCTGGAAGACCAATTAGCTTTACTTCCACAACAGCTACTGTGATTCATTCTTTTCCTGTTTGTCTGCTGGTTCCTTTACTATGAACATAAATAACCCTGTGTGATTCTTAGATTTTTCCTTTACCTCCCATGAAGGACCTCCTAGGACACAAATGGAGAGAAGAAAACCAAAAGAAACAAATACGAAGAAGCACTAGGATAATGTACAATAATGTCGAGGGAAAAAGAGATTAGTGTTACAACTTGTGTGTGTGTGTGTGTCGGGGGGTGGGGGTGGGGGTGGGGGTTAGGGTTAGGGTTATATCACTGTTGCTGTTATTCAGTCACACACTGTTAAAACCCGTATAAATACTTCTAGCACACATGAAGCTGAAACTTCAGTCGGCATAATTTTACCGCTTGTACTGCAGATAAAGCCCTTCAAGTCTATATAAACAGAATTGCATAACAATTCATTAATTATTAACTTTTGGTATCACTTGTCCTTGACGTCTACCTCCTGAGACGCATGCTACAAAGCCAAAGAAGCCTTACCATGTTGAACTGATGATGTATTATGGACCTTAGAGGCTATTTTTCCCTTTATTATGTAAAGGATCCAGTGATCATCTACCACTATTGTCCTCTACTCTTCCACTCTTTATTTACAGAATGTACTAACATACCTGAGGCCAAATGAGCTAATATGTGTATCCAGACATTTTGGGTTTTTATTACAGATTTTGGAATCTCTACACAATCACAATGAAGATTATCTTCTATCCATAAAGCTTTAATCCTGAACACCCAATTAATTACATCTAAAATGATTACATAAGACAGACACCAACTCAGCAGTACGGGCAGCTTCTAGCAGGGACGCACACACACACACACACGTTCATTTCTTGCATTCAGCTCAGCAAGAGAAACTGCGTTGACAGCACTAGAGCTTGCTTCAACATGCGCTGTGATTATACCATAAAAATAAACTGACCTCAGGTGTACAGGTGTACAGCAGGCACCACACAAGTAAACTCATTAAATGCATCCACTTCCCCCACAAGTTGTGAAGCTAGCTAATTTTTTACTACAAACGTATTTAAGTTTGAAAATCTTATAAACCTTACCTGAATATTATTTAAAAGAGAGACATTAAACCGAGAAAGTGTTGTTTTGTTGTTGTTTTTTTTTAGCCCATGGGACAGTTTTCCACCTACATACATCCTAATGAATCTGGACCCAGGACCTGGATCTTGGGTCATATCGTTTTCTTTGTGTATGGCAGTTTTTATTTATATTAAATGCAAATCACTGCTTCCTGTTTATCTTCAAATAGTGCAAGTGTTTTAGTCTTTTCTAGAAGCAGTACTTTTTGGAAGGGAAAAAAAAAACAAAAACAAAAAGAACCAGTGTATTTTGAAACCTAATTTTCATCGATGAAGGAAAAACATTCAAATGAACAAAAAAGCAAGCGAAAAGTAGAAGGGAGACACAATATATAAGACCCCACTAAGTCAGAGATCAAAGGCTTTGAAGAAAGTGAAGACTCGAGCCAAAAACAGCAACAACAAAACAGACAAAGGAACCACAAGAGGTGCTTCTGGTAGACACAAACTCAGACTTTTGTCTTTTAGAATTTTCCATAAAAGCCATCAGAATATGAATCCATGTCTTCTAAACTTTTGAACACTAAAGTTAAACCTGTGGTTAAAGCTTTTATTGACTGTGTTCCAGTCTACCCAACATTTTCAGCAAAGTGAAGTGAGCTAGAAGGAGCTGGCGACAGTGAGGTGCTGTCTCAGGCATACCTAGTAACATTAGCTTCTTACTTCATAAATCCTCTGTTAACTTGTGTTTTCTTCAATTTAAACCAAGCAGAGAGGAAGGCTGCTTATCCAACAGTATGCTGAGTAAAATGCCATGTGGCAGAAGTAGGATGGAGTTATGCAGTGAAAAGGCCATAACAGGAAAGTAATATCGGATGGAAATCTGTGGTCAGTGCCAAATTTGGAGGGAAATGTCAAAAAAAATGTATTTTGATATGTGGAGCAAAGCTGTGAGCAATGTGGGGAAATGGGAACATAAAGAAGGATGCAAGCAAAGACGGAGTGCAACCGTACCTCTGTCCTCTGGCCTGACCAGATGAGGCTTCTTGTCAGCACTCGGGATCTCCGGCTTAAGAGCTGAAAAACGAAACATGGTCCGCACAAGAGTCACCTCGTCTGTCTGACACGACTGACTTGAGACTCACACAACAGAAAGGAAGACACTTTCTCAAGTAAACACAACAAAGCACTGACACAAATACACTATCCTCTACCAGACACTTCCAGGCGGGTATGAAATTAGCACAGAGTTGCCAGATGACTATTACACTGTATATATTGGTGGGTGCACACCAGTGTGGTTTGGTTAGGTTTGACATCTACACATTAAGAAAAAAAAAAACTCTACACAGACAGGAACTCATGCGCGCGCGCACACACACACGCACAAAAGTGCAGTCCTAGCAGGATATGAATACAAACCCTGTGGTAAAAAAATGATGCAAATGTGCATTTTGCAAACTGTAGATGTTGCTGCTGATACCAGGGACTGCTGTCTCTATACCCAAACTCAGTCACCACGCGGCCTTCTACTTGAAGTAGAAGTAGATCACACACTTTGGGCTTTCATGAATGTTTCCTCAATCAGTTAGACGTAAACAAAGAGTACATGGCAGAGGATCCAATCCTTTTTGGATTTTAATCTACTTTCTACCATGTGTATATATACTTCTTTTTTTTTTATGAGTTGCTACAGTTACAGGATCCCAGCATGTACACAGGTGCACTCAATGGGACATGATGATGGAAATATCCTGAGTACACAGCTGTTTCTTTTGCTTCCTTGATGATATTTCAGCAATGAAACAGCACAGACGCTGGGTATAAAGAAGGATTGAAACCAAAAAATTAACAGATTATTCTAACAATAATCTATATATTTTTTCCAAACCGTAATATTAATGCACTTCATATTTTTGAGGCAGTGTAGAATAAATGTAAACACCTACTAATTCTACTTAAGAAATGAGCTGCTCAATAGCAAGACATTTAAAGTAAGAAGCCTGTTTTCACACTTCCCACTGACTTGAGAGCAGATAATAAGACAAAGAGGTTAAACTGCTCCTTACCCGTGCTTTTAGATGGTGGAGGCGGTTTCTTCGGTTTCTGACAGGAAGACAAAAGTAGAGAGTTAATAAATGTTAGTGTGAGGATGACACAACAAAGTGATTATCTTTATTTAAAAAAAAAAAAAAAAAGCAAAAAAAAAAAAAAAAAAAAAAAAAAAAAAAAAAAAAAAAAAAAAAAAAAAAAAAAGAAAAAAAAAAAAGCAAAAAAAAAAAAGCAGGAGTTAAGGAGAAAGGTACAAATTCAGTTTGGTCTAAACAAAGATTGAATTTGTTGCACTAGATTCAGTCCTGCAGTGAAATGTTGTGATTGCCTTCTTATATTAGGAGAGCAACACAGGCAGTTTAAATATTTTGTCATTTTACAGCACAGCCCTCTTCAATTACAACTCAATATATTAATTCAATGAAGATTAACCACGAGTCTGACTGTCTAACATGATTAACGCCAACACAAGTCAATATATAAGACCTACATTTTAAAGGCCTTACAATGCTGGTTTCAACCATTATTAACAGACGTACTACACAAAGTATTGCACTAAAAAAAAAAAAGAAAAAGATTAGGTTCCATCTGCTGTGAAACGGGGTGAAATAGGGTGGGAGGAGAGGCAAAGTACAGCGAGTGTCACCCGAAACCAACCCGGGCACTGCAGTATCACACTGGATGCATTTAGCACTTAGCAGGTTTACTTGCTCAGACATGTAGGTGTTGGCTGCTACTTTCAAAATGCTAAAGGTTATTGGTGTTTACAGACACAGACTTAAAAAGGTTTCTCTTTATATTAATACTGTGTCTCTCTAACACTATCTAACTGTTCCCAACAATAAACTTTGGCATAATTATGACAATAATGCCTGGGAACCAAAAAGATTATGTCTGAGTACGGGCAATATTTCAGTACAAGATTCGCCAGCTGACTTGTGTTGCATTAGTTAGACTGCCGCTTTGTGATATTTAATAGCATAGGCACTGGTATCCTAATACCCATTAATAAAATCTATTTCCATAAAAATATTATGGCACTGGAGGCAAAGCAGTCAGCAGTGATGGGCTTACAGCATTCATTGAGTGAGTTATTTACTGTCCAGTCATGTTTGAATTTAAAATGTGCTCCACAAAGCAGGAGCCAGAAGGTGGGGCCACAAAATGTAAGGACATAATGTAAATCAAAAAAACACCAATGAGCACCAAAATACAAGAATAAAACGGTAAAGAATAATAAAAGCCACAAGTTGAAACCAGTAAATAACAATGAGTTAAAATTAAATTAAAGCTGCAAGCAGCGTTATGAGGGCCCTCGCACCCCCGGCGCGTCGAGCCACGCCCAACACCTAAAACCAGCACGTCCGATCTGATGTCACATTGATGGAATTCATGCATTTAACCACCAGCTAACATTTCATCTCATTCAATTATGATTATAGTCATCCCACTAGGTGGCGCCATAACCATTATTGACAAAGGGCATAACAAACATTTCCGAGGTCGAGTCTCATCACGCCTGCAACCTTTGGGAGAGATTGGATATTGTGTTTTTGAGTGACAGCAGATTACTGCTTTTTGGCGAGTGATTTACATTCACGTGCCGCCATGACCACCCCGTTTCCCTGAACGTAAAAAGCTTCGCAATTTAACATCACAAAGGTCTTTAGATTCCACGCACTGGAGATCGGGTCAATCTGACGAAATCCCTTGGAGGAGTTTGTCAAAGTACGGTGCCTGAAAAGAGGGGAAAATGTCGCCAAAATTACACATTAATTTTAAAATGGCTGACTTCCTGTTGGATTTGGGATATTGCTCCAAGAGACTTTTTAGTACATCTTGATATCTTCCATAAGGTTACCAGGTTTCAGACTCATAGATAAAACACAGAGCAGGGGCTGATGTTTTGAAATTTTGTAGGGGGCGCTGTGGAGCCA